AAAAAATTAAAAAAATATAATTTTAATACATTTTAAAATGAAAACTACTTAAAAAAAATTATATTTCCCCTGAAGTCCACAGAGTTATTCTTCTTAATATCTAAATCATAATAATCCTCTAAGCTAAGGTTTAGATTTGCCTATAACATAAAATAAATACAAAAAAAAAAAAACAAACTTAGTCTGATAATTATTTACTATTCAGGGAAAAAAAACTCTAATGACAATAATTTCTATGTAATGGGAAAAAATTAACCCAATTATGCAGCTTCAAATTCCTTTAAATCATATAACAAATAATATTGCCATCATACGTGGATGTTGTCATTTACACGTCAGAGTCAACGCCAGCGCATGGGTACCGTACGACCGCATTCTAATCCGTATCTATAATTGTGACAGAAAATAAAAAACAAGAAACTAAAATTAATTACCACGCAACTTGGCCACTGGGCCGACATCGACAGCCCTCTTCTTTGTCTTGTGTCTCATTTGTCTTAATTAACAATCTGATTTTGCACAGCCTTCGTTCCACATGCCCACGTACAGCATGTTACATGTTTGACTTGTGAGGCAGTGGTTGGTGGGTTACTTGTTATTTTTTAAAATATTTTTTAATTAAAAATATTTAAAAATAATATTTTTATATTTTTTAAAAATTATTTCCATCATTAATATATTAAAACAAGTTTGAATACAGAAAAATATAAAATCATAAAACCTAGTTTCAACAGCAGAAACAAAGGGCCACTGAACAAGCGGCTACTAAGTACACTTCTCCACGTTGGTTGATTTATAAAGTTGATTTAGCATTTAGTTTTCTTATTCTAAAAAGAAATTTAAATTGGAAGGAATTTTTGTGCCATAACCAATATTCAATCTTGACATTCATCATCTTGATTCTTGGGATCTCAATATCTTATTCTTATTCTGTGTGTAATGTGTGTGTGTGTAACAAGTTCAATATTTCAAATTACCGATCCTACATGACTTGCAGATGCACAATTTTCATTAGTAATTTATCTTTTTAAGGCTGATTTTGGAATCAAATATGCAGAGCCTCGAAGAATTCTCTAAAGTTTGTATCAATATATAGTAAATATAAAGTTATTGGTATATCGTAGTGATGCTCTATTACCATGTAGTTAAGAGGATGAAGATAAATATCTACAGGGGTGGAGTTTGGCTTGGGATGATTAATCAAGGGCCATCTGCAGCTTCTAACAAAAGAGTACTTTGAGAGAGATTTCTTACATGCTAATGACATGGCAGATGGTGCCATTTGAGAAGGTGCAGTTGCAGGATACGGCGTTTTCATTCCCTTTCACCGGATTTGGATCAACCCAACCCCATTGACCACCACAAGGATCAGCACTGAAATTCCAATTTGTCTTGCCTATTGTCTTTGCTATGTCACGCAGAGCTTCAACTGTAACAATTTAAATATATATAGTACAAGGTTCATTATTTTCCAGAATAATGATATATAATTAAATTATTGAAGAGCTTCATCTCCATATCTATGATTGTTGGGAAACAACCGAGATGATATAAAACAAGAAAACTCCAAAATCACTGATCCAATCTTGCCTGGAACATACCTTCATCGTCGGGTAAACGAGTAGCCCCAGAAGCAAATGCTGCGAGACTAAAGGCAACGAGTGAAGCAAAAAGAAGCCTCGAGAAGGACATGATAATTGTTAAGGAGCTGGACGTATTAACGTCTTCGCATTCGAGAGAGAGTATACAGTGGACAGAATTGTGATACAGTATATCGGGAGTTGGAATCTTGTGTGAAAGAAAGGAAGGAGTACGGAAACAAAGAAAGACAGAGGCTTGCTTTAAGCGAGAAGTGACAGAAACCAAGTCAACTATCTATGGTTCATGCTATTTTTTTTTTTTTTTATAAAGTAAATTTGAGCTCTAATAATTTAAATTTATATCATTATTATATATAATAGGAGAATTACTTTCATTGTGTAACCCAAACTTGACGAGTTGCCATATAAGTTAAAAAGAAAAAATATGCACAAAATAATTGAATTATAAATATATTAACAAATTGACATAATTGAAGTATTAAATTTCTGGATAATGAGAATGACCAGCTTATATATACTTCACTACTATCATCTAAAACTTTGGATTGAATTGGTGGTTTAGTAACATGTTTTTATCCTTTGTATATTACACTTCCTCTTGTCGGTGGCTCTGAAGAAATTCAAAGTGCCCTTGTTAAGAAAACGTTTTATTACAAAATTACAATTTGAGGTGGTTTTGAGACTTCGAACATTGCATAAAAACTCTGTAAGAGATGAAGTAATCAGCTATGATTCAGCCCATTGAATTGAATTTTTTGAATATGTTTAATGGAATTTGATTAAAGACAATACCTTTAATTTGACTTAGTGTGTGAACATTATTCCTTTTTTTTTTTCTTATTTGGGCTATTAATTGTTTGCAATATGGTCCTTCAAAGCTTTTGTTGGAGGGCCTAAGTATTTGTTTATTAGCCTTTTGTTTTTAAAATATTTTTTAAAATTGTTTTTTTACTTGAAAATATATTAATTTGATATATTTTTAGATTTTTTTTATTATTTTGATGTATTAATATTAAAAATTAAAAATTATTATAAAAATATACTATTTTAATACAACGTTACCAAATACATAATAAGAGCATTCACATTCGTGCTCTTTGTTGGAACTCCTTAATCATAATTGCTAGTATTAGATAAGTAGTTGACACTATACCGCAGGCAATCTTCCAATAAATTACTGTGGTTATGGATAAATAGTCAATTACACAATTCGCAAAATCAAACAATAGTGCATTAAGTGTGATAATGCAATCCAAATTACATTACGTGCATGAAAAATCATGTAGATGCCATAGAAATGCGTAAGCAACTGTAGTCAAGGTAGAGGGCAAGTGTTAAAGTGTTCAAAAAGAAAAAAATGGCATACCATGGAAATATATAAACAAACCATAGAACTAAAAAGTTAATCTTAGAAAAAATAAAAAGAGATAAATTCAGCACCCTCCATAATAGAAAAGCTTTTCAAAGAGTTTAGGTTGTGCAAGCCATTAATTCCCTTTCAAAAGCCATACAAATTCATTAAACATATCCAGCTAGAGATAGAAGAATTCAAAGGATGAAGAACACAACGAAGCAGGCTCAGCACCAATTAAGTCAGGTGGCGTGTGAGACAAAAGAGAAAAAAGTGAAACAAAAGATTTCATGGTCTCCTTTCTAGACAATTACACTGAAATTAACAAATAATTCTCTTCTTTATACCAGCAAACAGATTAATTAGCAACCAAAACTTCAAAGGTAGGGTAAAATACAAGGCATGTTATTTTTACTATTGGTCTAAGGATGTTGCTTTGACTAATAATCGATAGGAACTGAAAATTAAATTAATTTAGGATTCACAATAATTTGTCTCCTGCTTTGCTTTTGATTGTGTCAAAGAGAAACTGGAAATGTAATATTTGTATTTCAATAGAACAAAATAAAAATTGAGCACGCTAGCTGGATCAGCTTTCACGGATGAGTTGAAAATAAAGAGCCAGGATTACAAAAAGACAGTAGTGTAGCAATAAAATTTAACACCCATTGACATGAAAAGAAGAGAAGCAGTCTAGCCCAATCTCAAGAGAAACTTCTGACTACAAATCAACAATGTAACCACAAACCACGAATCTAAGAATATATATATATATATATATATATATAGCAACTTTTTCTTTTTTTTTTGTTAAAAAAAACCTTACCTTTTAAAAAGTATATTTTATAAATTTAAATGAGTAAGTAAAACCCTAACTGTCCTAACTTTTTATAAAAAATATATGTTCTGATTCAAGATCAATTTATTATATAAATTTCAAGTTTTTTATTATCATATTATATTTATTGAGAATTATATATATAACAACTTAAATCTTAAAAAAGAATGTGAATGAACATTCAGGTATACTTGTTCAAACTCTCCAAGCCCTCCCTACAAGGGAAAAAAAAAAGGTACTTGAGAAAGCTCTAAAATATTTTGAAGGATGACTCTTGCAGCTTGCATAATGAGAACAAACAGCACACTTTGTTTTTGCCACGTAACACTTGGAGGTGAAAATCGCCTCATCAGAGCCCCTGATATGTTTAAGTCCTTTAAATAGTTAATGGGGGCATATGAAAGGTTAAGAGGAGTAGTAGATCAGATCATGAGAAAGACGGGTTGATTGTTACAAGAGGCAAAGTCATCACCGACAGATTATGTCCGTCAGGTTTTCTTTTGTTGGTGATTTAATATTTTATTGCTATATCGGTAGACAAAAAAAAAAAGATTCTCGCTTGAAATATACTGACAAATTTATATTATTGGTGATATTGTGATTTATTGACGGATGCTAATCATTGATAAAGCTGTTGGTAAGTGTATGAAATATTGACCGAATATATTTGTTTGTAAATTCATCAGTAAGTGTGGCAACTACTGTTAAATGTCAATGGAGTAATTTCGTTGGTAAGTCAGTGAGTGTTTAAAATACCGACCGAATGAATCCATCGGTAAAATCCTTGATAATTGTTTTTTTCTAAATTTGTTTTTAAAATATTATTTAGGGTATATAATATAAAACTATATAAATTAATTGTAATACAATCCAATTATGCAAATAAAATTTATATTAAACAAAAAAAATTAAATAATATTCATTACAAACTGAATATGTTTCAAAAAAAATATTAAATGAAGTTTTAAAGGTAAATAATGTTTATTACAAATTAATATCAAGGTGGAGCTGGATGAGGAGGAGGAGATCCTGGAGGAGGCTGGTGGTTATACGGCAAAAAAGGATTAGGCGCATATGTTACACTATTTGCCATGTTTATAACCATTTCGCGAAGCTGTTCATAAGCTGCTTTTTGTTGTTCATACTCTACTTTTTGTTGTGCTTGAGATGCTTTGAGTTGCGTGTACTCCGCTGATAGGTGGTCATATTTCTCGGTCAGCGGAGCCGTGTGTTGCTGCAAGGCCTCGAACTCCTTAGATTTGAAGCTTAATATTGATTGGGAGCTCCCAACGGTTGAAACACTACGAGTTGACCACAAGTTGCTGGCCATAGTGTTAGAGAACCCGTAAATCTGATTTTTATCAGGTCCACCTGACGAGCCAACCTCCATCCATAAATCCAGATTGAATTCCGGATGGTTCAAAATATTATCCATGTATCTCTCCCTCAACCAATTATTATAAGTCTCCTAGAAATAAAAAATAAAAAGTAATCATCATATTCAATTCAATAAACATAATAACTTAGAAAATAAAATGGTTGAACAAATATACCACAAAATGTTAAGCATGGTTATCAACGAACTATTGCACCCCCTTCTGGCAGTCTTAACTCCGTATGTGCGTCTTCACAAACAGTTCCATCAGGCTCGGCTCACGTCTAAGAGACGCTGCCTATAATGAAAAAAGATATATTAACAACAACTGAATTTAACAATATATTTCATTTAAATTGATCTTACCATCCGTTTCACATGTGCAACAAATGGAACAGAGCTACCAGTGTGCATTGACACCCCGCCATGAATTGATCAATTCCAGTTGCCAGCACTAGACTGTGAGTGTCGTGGGAACCGCTCAGACATCACATGCTCAATATAGTGCAACCATACATCTTTCGAGATGTATATCGGTTTGAAATCCCTCCAAACCGCAACATCATTCCAGCCTTAAAAACCCCTATCCCTCGCGGCTTTTATTTCCTTTTTTTGTGCTTCATATCAAAAATCAAGTAACCTACTTCACGCAATCAAAAATTACATTTCAAAAGATAAATTTTTGTCTAAAAAAAATCTTATATTGTTTTCAATCTTACCTAGTTGCTGCATGATTTTCCCACACCCTCCTCACAACAGTGTTATACTCACTGTCCCAGTAGAATTTGTACTGTGTATAAATGAACAAGTTTCAATAAAAATAATAACTTATTTACAATTATATTAATAAGTTGAAAATTATAAATTAATACCAACCTCAAACCTATTAAACCATGCATTGATTTGAAGCATCCATTCAGGATGGTTGGATATCTGACTCTATTGAAACAATGGAATCTCCATCGATGATTGAAACGTCGATGATATTACTCGGGCGACTTCAATTTTTGTGAACCTAAAAATAAATAAAATAAATTCAATAGTGATTATTTCATAAATTATGTTGTAATTTAAAAACAAAAACTAAAACCTTAACAAACTTACATTGAAAGGTCATCCTTCCACTATGCCTCGTACTAGCAGGTAAATTGATTCTGCTGTGACGGCACGCCACCTCTACGCTATGAAGTAGTGTTGGAAGAGGCAACATCAGTTAACGGTGCAAGTGGTGTAGGTGCCTCTTCTTGAGAGGCACCTAAAGAAATATCATCATCTCTGCTAGACGAACTAGTTGCGACCATACATGAGTGACCAACTTTGGTTTTCGTTCTACGCATCTACACAATTTTATATAAATAATTATATAATTAAATTTAAATGTTAAAAAAAAATTCGACAGCACCTCCCCTATACTCCTACTACCCAAATCCACAAACCTGCACATATTAACAATAGCCACAACCAATTTACCCAATCTATACTAATTATTCCAACATATTCAATTACTAATCCTAAAGTAAATTCAACATTAAAAATTACAATTCAACAAATTATTTAATAATTATGCCAATTCAACAAAACAATAAATTAAAAAAAAAACTATAGAATAACAATCAAAATAAATGGAAAAAATTAAACCCAAATCATGCAATAATAAATTAAAATTAATAATTATTCCAACATATTCA